GGGCACTGTTTGTTGTTGTTGTTTGTTTGTTTGTTTGCTTGCTTATTTCTTTTCCATTGTTATTTCCCTGGTTGTTTTGTTGTGTCTTTGGTTCTTGGGGAGAACTGACACGCAGAATGATGCAAATCTATTTAATATGCATAAGTAGAATATAGTATGAATTTTAAGCAAACATAAAATAATTATCACTAGTCGGCTTTCGAACATCCTTAGTGTTATTTACCTCTTCTTTCTATTCTACACACCCTCCTCTCTCATGTTAGAGCTCCAACATTTTTCCTCTTTCCCACTTCATAAAAACTGTGTGTTCCTGTCTCCCTGCCTAGACTTCCTTCTCCTCCCAACCCCCATTTTGAGAACAAATAGGGTATTCTAAGGGAAGATCAACATATTCCATCCTGCAAGGAATTCATCCAGGTCAGAAAATAAACAAACCAGTTGTTACAGAAAGTCATCAAATCTGACCAGATTCACTGGGTCTCTTATTTCTCAAGCATATAAGAGCAGTAGGGTGATGATGAACATATTAAGATACATGGGGAGAGGATAAATATGGGTTATATATTTCACTCTAGGAGAAGTCACTTACACAAGAAATCAATGACCTACAAATTCCTGATTGAGGAGCCACACCCAGGCTGCTCTCCGGGACTCGGTTAGAACCAAGAGAGAGCAAGACTGTCCAGGACCCCAGACCAAATACCACAAGCTCCAGTATGCACCTGTGACCACGCCCAAATGGGTGTGGTCAGTGCCACAGGTGCGGGGGGGGGGGGGCGGACCTCTCACTACAGTAAGGACTGCTAAGACACTCTCAGATAGGCATAGTCACCTGGAGGAGGGAAAACCAACCAGGCAAAGTCCCGGAATAGATTTAGACCAACTAAATTATCTGGAAAGCAGACTACGTTACCTCTTGAGTAGTCTAGCTTTCTTGAGATGGTATCTATATTAAAAGTATGCTTTTGGTGTTATAACTGTCTTTGAATATTGGCTGCTCCTGAAAAAAAAAAAAAAAAAAAAAAAAAAACCCTCACCCATATTCCTTTAAGAAATCCCAATAAAACTAATTTGATTCCATCTTTGCTGGGTGTTTTTTTTTTTTTTTTTTTTTTGTTTGCTTGTTTGTTTTTGTTTTTTTTTTTTTAGGAATCTTTATAGGAAATTAAAGATCTCCCCATCTGCTCTAACTCATCCAACACTCTCTTTGCATTCCATCAAAATCACTTCATGAATTTATCCATTTCTAGAGGCGTAACACAATTCATGTCAATAACTCATAATTAACACTCTTTGTTTAAATCTATCACTTATTTGGGTGTCTATATTTGTGAGATTTTAGTAATACACATGTCCATGTATCCTTTAGCATGTAAGTTATCCTTAATAAAAAATGCTAGCCAGGCACTGGTGGCGCATGCCTTTAATCCCAGTACTCAGGAGACAGAGGCAGGCAGATCTCTGTTAGTTCCAGGCCAGCCTGGTCTACAGAGCTAGTTCCAGGGCAGGCTCCAAGGCAATTCAGAGAAACCATACCTCGAAAAATAACCAAAAGCAAACCAAAAACAACAAAACACTCTATACTGGACTCATAGTTTTAGTCTAAAACATTTTTTCCTCTGAAAAAACTCCAAAACTCCTGTATCATCTTAATGACTTGCAAGATTGTCAACAGAGAATCAGCCCAGAATTGTGTGGGTTGTTCTTAATTTTTTCTTAACTTTGTTAGCTGATATCAGACTACTTCCTTAACTCTTAGCATGATTACCTCTTTTTCCAGTTCCATCATCATAAAATAGACTTCCATCACATACCCACTTTTTTTTTTCAACAGCTACCCATACACCAGCCTGCTCCCTGACCTTTGCTCTTACTGACATCTCAGCGTGCTCTGTACATCTTAAACTATTCAGTTCATTCTGGTACTTGCAGCACCAAAATACTCAATGTTAATATTTTACATTTAATAATTAAAAATAGTCTCATTCTAAGCATATATCTAGAATTTCCAAGAAACAAAGGACTTGCAAAGCACCTGCTGATTCTGAAAATCTTTCCACTTAGGCAGAAGTTAATAAAGTAGGTTCCACATAAAAGAATAAGTTTTTAGCACAGATTTGGATTTAAAGTCTATTTAAGGCATCTGCTCTGGAGATTATCCCCAGGGAAACACTGAGGAAAGACAAAGGTCTGGATGAGAATGAGAAACGATCCCATTAGAGGCGGCATTTGACTCTGCTTCTCAGAGCATGGCGGAACTGTAAAATGAAAAATAAAAGACCTACATACAGATATCCGGGTTCAAGCTTCAAGCTGAAAAGCAAAGAGCAGGTGGCTACCAGCTCTTAGCTCTTGCTACTTCGGACTGAAAGGTAATCCTGGCTCCACCAGATTTCAGACTGTAATCCCAGACTGTTAGGCTCTCCTCACCATGGCTGGAGACTCCTGAGACTGAATGTCTTCCTTTCTTCAGTGTGGCTGGAGACAAATGTTATCTCTGAGACCCTGTTCCTGTCTTAAACACCTCTCATGAGTCCTGGGATTAAAGGCGTGTGATCCCAAGTGCTGAGAGCATCTTTGTGTGAGCTGTTTCTCTTTATGACTGGTTATATTTTATATAGCTCAGTGTGGCCTTGAACTAACAGAGATCTGTCTATCTCTGCCCCCAAGTGGTGGGATTAAAGCTGTGTACCACCACCACCACCACCTGGCTTCTATACCTTGTGGCTGACATTGCTTTCAGAATCCTCAAGTAAGCTTTGATAAATCATAAGTAATTTATCACCATAGAACACCATTTTCATCCATTGGTCTTGTAAAGTTAAGACACTAGGCTTAAATTCCTTTCTCTTTGTCTGGTCTGTATTTTTAAAGATAGCAATCAGCTAAGTGGTGACACAGAACAGTGTTCAAGAGAATTAACTACAGTCGGTTGAAAAAGAATCAGAGTTAGAATTGACTTTATATTCATAATTATTTTTATAAAAAGTAATAACCAAGTGTCTTTCTGCAAGGTCATGTTAGTTTTACAGTAATGAGATGCAAGTAATAGATTGACCATAGATTATCTGAATGTGGCCATGAAGTAAGAATTTCTAATCACAACACTTTCTAAAGAAGCAAATAGCCAGACAAACCCAGTATCACGGTAAGTATGGGGATTGTATGTATTAAGGAAATGACCTGAGCACCTGGACTAGATTAGACTATTGAAAAATATCATCTTTCTTTACCGAAGGAAAGACATGAACAATGAAGGTGTAAATAAAAACTTTCATTTTTTATATATGTTTGAGGATTTATATCAGATATCCCATAAAAACATTATTTTTTTCAAAACCATACTCACATTTTAATGAATACCGTAGGTTCCCATTTTGTTTTTTACCCTCACTATATAACCCAAGATGTATGCAGCCTCCCCATCTTTGGACCATAGCCTCCTCTATAGGAGGATTTACAGCTATGTTCCACATTTCCTTGCACCAAACATTTCCCTGAATTCATCAAATTTGACAGTATCGTATTCGTCACGCTTGTCTCACTCGATTATTCACTACTTTTAATTGGTTTCTTTAGCACACTGTTTTGGATTTATGCTTGTGGACACGATGAGGCAATATCACAGACTAAAATATCTTATCAAGATAGTGATGATGATGGTTACAAAAGCATTAGACAAAACTCAAGGGACTGTAATAGAGGCCAGCGCTTTTAAGCTAACCATAGAGGCTCTCTGTGGCGGTTAGGTTTACAACATCTGAGGGGACAAATAGCAAGCAGGGGTTTCCACAGGCCCAGAGCCTCTGGGAGCCGAGCATCCCTGCCATGTAGGAGACTGACTGCCAAGGCTGCCAGTATGAGTAAAGTAATGCAGGCAGCACCAGGCAGGAGACATGGAAGGTGTGAGTTCACAGGGTACATGACAGAGTATCCATTTTTCTCATATTGCATTCCTTGGAGGAGTCCCAAGAGGTTGATGACATAATTCATGTTTATGAACAAAGACAAATGTTCCCCCAGAGTGGAGAAGTCACCTAGAGCAGAACCTTTCCTTGGGGCCCTGGTATACAGTCTGTAGCACAGAGGGAGGTAAAGACTGTTTGATACGAGATATTAGACTGCATTTGAAATATAGATGGAAGGGAGGGATTGAAGATTTTATTGTAAGAGCTGCATATATTAAAAAAAAAAAAAACAACCTGGGGATTCTAAGGATAGTGACATAGAAGTTACAAAATAGACAGGATGTGGGGAAATACATGTGGAATAATCAAGAAAGTATATAATCAGTCTGAAATACGAATATGTCCAGGATAAGAAACATAAATGAGACAAAAACTGATGGATTGGTAGTATTTGTTTTATATGGGAAAATATACAAGATTTTGATTTTTTTCTCCCTTTGATGGTTACAAATGTTTTCTTCTCATTTTTATTCCTCCTCACAAGATACTGTTTTTTCTTAGCAAAAATCAAGTATTGTTCCTCTGACCTGAAGCATAAAGTGAACGCTGGGGTGCATAGAGGATGCATAATATACACCAAAAGTGAGTTGAGACCCTTTCTAGTCTGGAAAATGTATTTGTTTTTTTACTATTTTATAACATTCCCTCCCAAATAAGAATTGTAAATAAAGAAAATGAATTATCCTTTTAGGAAAAAAAAATCTTATATGGAAGGTTGATAAACTCAGCATACATTTTGTGGAAGTTACACACTATTTCAATTCAAGCAAACTTAAGTTGGATGCATATATTGTGTTTGCCTCTCTCAGAATTGGTAAAAGTTGTAAATACCACAAACAGCTTTATTCACAAGCTGGCATATTTGTTGAGATAGTATTAGCTACATGCAAAATGATATGACTCCAATGATAAATTTCTGACACTGCAACTGGTTTAGGAAGTAATAAATAGTACGGAGCTGCTGACAATTAAATTCAGCCACACGGACAAGTGAATAAATTACAGGGAAATCTGCCATTGAGCATAACTTACCAAGAGGTTGGCCTGCGATGACCCTGGCATTTTCTCCAGCCACTGCAGCTCTTGCATGACGTTCACTCATGTACTGGACAAAGGCATACCCTTTGTGAACGGAGCAGCCCACGATCTTCCCATACTTTGAAAAAATAGCTTCAATGTCGACCTTTTTGACAATGGCTGTATTTAAATTGCCAATGAAAACCCTGGAGTTGATGGACTTGGGGTCATTCTTATTGGTGACGTTGCTGGTCTGTGTTTTGCCCGTCATGGTTGGCTCACCTTGTTTTAATCCTTAAACAAACAAACAAATAAAATAATCAGAAAATAAAATAACTAAATTCAATATATATAGCTGGCTTTGAACAGGCTTTTGTCATCTGGAAATGCAAATTCATGAATATTACTGATAGTCTTGTAAAGACAATTTAGTAGTATCAATGGTACACATTGATCAACTAAACAATGTCAGTAAATTATCATTATCAATTACAGCTGGTTCTCAAAAATGGCTCCATTTGGTATTCAATGTCAGCCCCATATATGGCAGAATATTTTATAGCTGGTTTATTTTTAAGTATAGTTATATTTGCTAAGGAAAATTTAAGGAATAAATCTTTTCATTCTGTGAAAAGAACAAAAGAAGATAAAAGTCCACATGTGCAAGTCTGAGGAAAGGAGATATTTAGTAACAGAGCACTTTGGAGTATTTGAGCAAAGTGTGTGAGCCACAGGCTCTGTGACAGGCATACTGGTTATCAGCGTCGAGAGAGGACGCCTACAGTCAGAAGCCAACAACTGATCCATTAAAGGCTAAAGAAAAAAGAAAGAGACGAGGTTAATTATCAGAAACTTGACCTGGATTATTTTTACATAAGGGAAGAACAATTAGTTCTGTTCATGACACTTAATTGAACCAATAAGGTATGTTATCTCAGTCAAATGTAAATAAAAAGACATATACAGTCACTATTCATCAATACTAACAAAATTACACTGGAACACTGGGGCTTTTTTTCTCAGCCTCATTTTTAAGTAAACTCAAAGTAGCTTTTGTTTGAAGACCTGAAGATCCAGAGCCATATTTAATGAGTGTTGGTGTTTGCCAGGTACCCCCTTCTGTTTATAGAAACCATTATATGAAAGGAAATCTCTGGTGGGGATGCTCATTGCGGAAGCCTAGCCAATTGGTGAATTTTCTTGATGGTAGTTATGTATTTATATTAACACTGTATTTAAAATATTTCAGGCATGAAATAACAAGTGCAATTTCTTAAGAATCATTTTAAATGACACTTTTCACTTAACTGTTAATCTAGTTGAGTCTCAAAGCCACATAAATTGGGTATGCTTGAAAATTCACTACCTATTTAAAAGAAGTGCTCTTGAAATCAAGCACAAGCTAGCAGCATAAAATTGTTTCAAATAAAGCTATTCATTATTACATCTGAGGTTATTATAACTTTACTTCAAAATAGACCCTCTTACAAGTCATCATAATGAAGGAATATCTAATAAACAAAACATTAAGCCATTTACATGAAAATTAAGGGAAATTATCAAAAAGAATGATTTAAAACTGCCCTATATAATTCCAGCTTAGCTACATATTACTTGTTTCTTCATTATGAAATATTCAAGCTAGAATTGTAGAAAATAAAACTAATACTTTTTTCTAATCATGAAATTATAACTATTGAATAACTCAAGATGAATCTAAAAATGCAAGAAAAATTAAGGTACATACTAAAACATCACCTTCTTTGTAAAATGTAATGTAGATTCTCTTTCTTATTAGTACAAGGCAATATCAATAATAAAAACCACAGAAAGTATACTTTCAACTTATAGTTGTATGGCAAATGTTTTCTGAAATATCATGTCTGTGATATAGTCACTGGTAAGCAATTACTATGGCTGACATTTATTGTGTAGCTTCGGACCTGCTGGTTGGGGAAGCAGTCTTAGGAACTATTAGATGAGGTCACCTGGATGAGGTCAGACCAATGATCTGTGAGGTTGCACTCAATGTGAAGTTGCACTTACATTCTGAGATCACCTTATAAATGTCACTGTACTACATTTACACCATTTATTTTTAACAAATGTATGAATTTCAAGACAGATTTTAAGACACAAATAAAACTAGACATAGTGGTGCACTCTTTTACTCTAAGAAATGGGGATGAAGAGACAGGTAGACCCCTGTCTGTGAGCTCTAGGCCAGTCAGATATAGCGCACTTCAGGCCTACGTAGAAAGACTAGAGAAACATTGATTTGCGAACACAATTGAGGAACATTGATTTGCGAACACAATTGTGGATGCTAAGCACTCTGAGAGCTGTTGGCCTCCACCTCTCCCACAAAGACAGTTTCCCTGCGCTCTACAAGTCTGGATGACAACAAGAGTTATGCTAAAGTTGCTTGTATTATCATGTCAATGTCTTCTAAAACCAGTCCTTGAATTGGTTGCTGCTGTCCTATTCCTTCACTACTGCTGAACGTTCTAGCTTATTGTCTCTATTACAAGAATTTCTGAGCCACTGAAGAAAGACTTGCTCTTGTAGCCTTGATGACAAAATGGAAACCAAATGACTCAAATACCTGTAAAAACATGTAAATATAGATGAAACATGTTATCCATACAATACTTAACAATTTATATCATTCTTTAATATACAGTTTACCTACAATTATCTAAAAGTCAGATGGATAGTTTACCTTCACTTAAATAATTGTGTCTATCTCATTGGCCAAACAGTTAAACTGATTTAAGCCCAAACTGACTCCTGGGACTAACTCAGGTCCTTCCCAAAAGGAGTAGAGGGTCAGTGCTGACTCCTGGATCATTAAGGCTTGACTTGGAAGAACTGGGCTTTAGTAATGGGTCCAAATGATCCCTGGAATACACTTTGGGATCAATGATGCAAAACAAACAAACAGAAAACACACATACACACAACAACAACAACATGACTGTCAACTTCTACTACAACCCAAGTGCATATCAGCAAAGGGTATAAGCATTCTTTAAAAATAGAGCTCAAATAAACAGTGCCATGAGACTTGCCATCCTCATGATCCAGCCAAAACTTCTTTTAGTTTTTATCATTATTTAAAATATTTAAAAAATATTATCAATAGAAAAATATTAAAGATGAATGAAATGAAATTTTCAATAGCAAATTATTCCTAAGTTTTGAAACATACTCAATGGATATATAATACAGATGACAAGGTCTCTGCAGAACTGATATATAAATTTAAAGCTGTAGAAGTATGGAATATCCGGAATGCCGTCAAAAGGGAAAACACTGAAAAATGTACTCAAGAGCTTCAGACAGCTGGGTGAATGATATCAAGCTGTTTAACATACATAAATCCAGAGTCTAGGAGGAGCTAGGCAAGAATTACTTAAAAATATGATGGCCTCAGTCCTCCTAAATTTCAGAGAAGTGATAATACCAAAGAGCCGAGAATCTAAATGTATCCTGAGGAGAAAAAAATACAAAAAAAAAAAAAAAAAAAAAAAAAGCACACGAGATACATCGTAATCAAATTGCAGAAAGGCATTTCTAAGAAGCTGCCAGAGATTGGAAGCAAGCCTGCATTCTGACATAGAAATAGGAAAGAACAGACAAAAATATCCTGTCACTACAGTAGAAATGACAAGGGAGGAATGAACTTTTTTCAAGGAAAGGCTTTCTATTTCTTTTGTTTTTGATAAGTTTGTAAGGACAGAATGGGTCTGTGAAAAATGCTATGAAATAAAAGATAAAATTCAAACTATTGTTGCTCCACAGAGCTAACTTTCTGTGGAGTCAAAGGGAGTCAATATCTGCATCCCCCCGCCAAAATCTAATAGATGTACCTGGCTTGTGATTACTTGAAATAGTGCAAGCATAATGTAGGAACTGAATTTTGGACATTTTAGTTTAAATAAGGTGCATTCTACTAAGTCACCCACTCAAAAGATTACCTAAATTTTGATCTTTGAAGCACTTCAGCATATAACCAGGAAAAAATGCTTTTTTATGCTCAATTCATTCTTAGAGAATAAACATGCTTTGAGATTTGAAAATTTATGGCTCTGGTGGTATTAAGTATATTTTAAACAAATAAATTCAAGTCCCTGCTATTAGGGAAATACTAAAATTACTAAGGATCATCATTTTTAAGACACAATGAGTTAATGAATCCTCTAGAAAACATAAATAATATAGTTAAAATAAATATATCCTTTCTATTTGTACTTGAGAGCAAGATACATTTCCTTTAAATTAAATGCAGTTTTAGTTTGATTTAGAGAAAATATTTTTGAAACAGACAAAATTAGCACACAGTAAATCCATCCATTAGTGTGTTCTGATATTTCTGTCTCAGTTTCAGAATCACTCAGAAACTCGCTGAATAAGAAGCAAAAAATAAAAAAATAACAATAATAAAATTAAAAAACGCTCAGATGTTCAAGTGAGTAACCTCACACTAGTAACTTACTCAATATTTAGGAATTCAAGAAAAGACAAAAAGGGCTCACAAGAAAGAATCAGCTGTACTGTATAAGCTATCACACACTGTAGGCCAGCGCTTTCTCAGTATTGTTCTAAAGGTCAAACATAACAAATACTGCAAAATTGAGCACGTAACTCTGAGAAAGAATAAGGTGAAAGAGGAAATGGAGAGACAGAAAGAGAGAGGAGAAAGGGAGAAAAGGGAGAAAAGAAGAGAGAGAACACAAGATAGAGGAAGGGAGGTAATTTTCATCTCTGAGTGGATGTCATAAGTACATGGAAGCACGCACAGCTAATTCTCAACCCACAGAAGTAGACAGAGCTTTTCTGAAGATTTCTCACTCTTTGCAAATGATTTTAAATCTAGTCAGTTTGATAATGACTAACCCTAACACCGGTCTCTAAAATTATTAAATAGTTTGAGTGGATTTTAAGGAACATTAAAGTGATATGTATAAAAATTCTATCTTGCTGGTTGGGTGCATGGGTAGGTAAGATTGCTTTGCTGAGCAAGCATAAGGACCAGAGTTCAGACCACAAACACAAGGTAAGAACCCAGATGTGGCTAAGTTCATCTGTTACCCCTGCACTGTGAAGATTGGAGACCGGAAAATAGCTTGGGCTTGATGCTTGTCAGCCTAGCTTCAGTTTTAATAAGAGATCAGGACAACGGACATACTCATCTGGCTTCCATGTGAACATGAGTCACATAGTGAGAATATATATATATATATATATATATATATCACATATACATAAAACATGTTTTTAATAAATTAAAA